ACACAGCAATGTTGACGAACTGAACGAGGATGATGAAGTTCTTCAGCTTCAGGCCGAACTGACGATCCACCTTAGCAGCTTCCACTTTGACAGCTCCAACCTTGGCACTGCCGACACTGCTGCCTCCGTGCTTTCGCACCCAGGCGGAGTAATCTTGTTTTGTTGTCTGCTTAGTCTTGAACCCTCTATAGTTGCTGTTGCTATACGATGCCACTTGTGCATTGGCTTCTTCCCATGAACTATAAACCCCTGGAACCTCACCAATGAACACGGCATACCACTTGCCCTAGCAATGCACAAGAGCAAGAGTTGAAGCAGCAAATCAATGGAGCACAAGTAGCAAGCAAAGTAGCACACAAACAACAATGGAGCAGAAGAGAAGTAAAGCATGCATGATCATACGGCATAGCAAGTTCTTCCTAGCACTACCTTGGTGTTAACCTACCACTACATCCAAAAGAGGGTGTCGTCCTACCACCGCAAGTTCAACGTCACCGTGAGGGGTTAGTATATACCACCTCACCAAAATATACAGACCATCAAATAGTTTTTGAGCCCTAGCTACATAAAATGTACCTCGTCATCATCGTCGTCGCCACCACCATCGCCGTCAGGGATCATGCACGCTCACATGCAGCACTACTCTAGTAGTAGTGCTTGCCCAGCCAGCTCCTGAGCCACAGCACCCTGTGAGCGTCGGCCATGGCAACGAACCCAACACCCTGGGCCTTATTGTCAAGCAGGTGGCTGAGAGCTGCCATGAGAGCCTCGTCGCTGAAGCCACCCTGGGTCATGACAGCGCCATACAGGTCAGGGTGGACGTCGAGGGGCTTGCACTCCCTGATGGCTGTTGCCACCTCCTTCACCGCCTCAGTCATGTTGCAGAAGACATTGATCTCCTCCTCCAGCAGGCCTCCTCTCTTCCTCTTCCTATCAAGGGCTTCGCAGCGGGCTTGTCAGGGCCATCAAGGATCTTGACGTCCGGGGTCCCAGGGAAGTCAGGCATGGGAGAACCAAGAGGCTCCCCCGAGCCCATGGCATGCTTCCCAGTTGCCAGCCCGACGGAGAAGATGTGATGCATCTGGTTGTAGTTCTGGATGTGTGTGTTGAGGAACTCAGCGTCCCTTGGGTGGTCCTAAGAATGAAACACAAGTGTTGTTAGTTGCGATTAGGAGTAGGCAGTGGTGGACAGTATGAAAAGGAAGAGGGTTGTGAGCTAACCGCGACATGGCCGGCGTAGTGCTCTTCCTCCAGAACTATGGAGCAAGTGTTCTCATCCCATGAGGCGCCGCTAAGGTCTCTCAGCTTAGACACTTGGATCCATCGACTTCTCCACTTTCTCAGGTGGTTGTACACCTGGGTGGCAGACACCTCTTGCCTACAGAACTCGAACACCTGCTTCGCAACGGTGTTCAAGTGCACCTCCTTGAAGCCCTTGTCAGTCCTAACTCCACTAGAGATGAGCTCACACATCTTGTTCAGCACGAACATGGACATGAACAGCTGCCACTTCATGTTGTTCGACCTACTATCCTTCTTTGCCTTTGCTGCTGCTAGCTTCAGTGCAGCGGCAGCAGCAACAGGAGTAGTTGGCTCAACGAGCACTACTGGCACATAGAGGGAATCAGACTCGAACACTTTTGAATCAGGTGCCATCTCGGACATAGGCTGCGAGTCATCGACAAACGATGGAGCAAACTGGCTGTCGAACACGACAAGGGCCTGACTAAGATCTTGCGTCTGCGTGGTCATGTCCTACAATCGTAGCACGCATTGACAGTGAGCATAGCACACAACATACCGGACAATCCATGAAAGCAGGAGCATACATGTACATGGTTCATCACTATCATACTAAGCATACATGTACATGGTTCCCACTATCATAGCAAGCACATGACCACCAATAGCTACAAATCACAGATCTGAGCATGATTCAACACAAGCATAAGGTTCAACTTCAAACTCTACTACTAATCTAGCCTACCACATGCTTGAACATCTAGCCCTACCACAAATTATAATCATAGCATAGCAACCAACCATATCAGCTTACAAATCAGACCACTAATCAACCATGCATCTAGATCAAACCCTACCTGCAGCTCAGATCTAGCTAGAAGGAACAGTGAGAAAGGGGGATTGAACTCACAGAGGCCATGGCTGCAGCTTGAGGAAGAGGAGGGCGGTGGTGAAAGATGAACGCCGGCCGGTGAAGGAGCTCCAACGCCGTGGACAGCCGGCCGATGAAGATGTGTCGCTTACGTGCTCGTCGATGCCGATGCGCGTCGGCGGGAAAGCGCGAACGGAGGAAGGATGATGGCGGGAGTTGGGGCGGTGAGGGAGGGGCTAAATATGGGGTGGAGCGGCGGGAGGTGAGCCGAAATCCTCCCACCGATTTTTCGGCGACGCGGGCGAGCTCGCGCCATTTCCCCTGCTCGCACGAGGGGAGAAGCGCGTCGCCCTCCACTGCCTCGCTCGCGAGCTACTGCCGATTCATGCGTTGCCCCTGGGCCTGGCCTGGACGTGCTTTAAACTTCATGCGATGCGGGCCACACAGTAAATGCAGGAAACCAAACGGGCCAAATTCTTCCCGCCCGGGCCAGGTTGGGCCTCATGCGGGCAACCAAACACGTCCCTGGTGTCACGAGCCACACGGGTTGTACGAACTCGTCCATCGCACCCGGCTCCCGGCTGCACAACGTGGCCGATCCATGCATCTTGATTGGCGGATACCCTGTCCTCATCACACGTCCAAGTCGTCCCAGCGTACCACACATCATTGAGCATGATCATAGTTCGCGGATTTCAACTGATGAACTGTACACATCAACGAGCCATCATATGGACTACTGTGGTATCGGTATCAGTAGGTGGGTGGCGGATGACTGACTGGCTGGCTGGCTGGTCCCACGCGCAGATCGACATGCGCGGCTGCCACGCGATCACGCACCGGCCGGCGTCTACGCAGTACGTGCATGCCCGCACTCGTAGCTACTACAGTAGGAGGGAGTAGCTCGCTGTAGGTGCATGCACGCACGCAAGCCAAGAGCAACGCCGACGCGCAGATTGCATGCAGCGGCGCGGCGGGGCCGGCCGCGCCGGTGGCTCGACCGATCGGCTCGTCTGATGATCCGCTTCGCGCCACGCTGTGCCGCATGCGTCGGCAGGCAGACAGAGAGAAATCCCGGGTGTCCGTGCGCGCGCGCGGCCGGCCCCGTTCCCGATTTCCCTAGCCTGGCTTCACCCACGCATGCACGAATTTGTTTATTCGCCACAGACACATTACGTAGATGCTCGCTCTGTTTGGTTTCTTTCGCCGTGGTTCGCTTGTTCTGAACGTATCACCCGATGCCGGCGGCATAAAATAAGCCAGTTCGCGGATCCGGTGCTTGGCCTCGACCACGACAGTTCCCGATCCCATCGGATCTTACCACCCCATCATCCCTGCCTCCTCTCTCGGGTTTCATCTCAAGAGCACCAGCGCGGACTCGCACGCCGTGCTTGTTGCCGTGCCCAGTAGTAGACACACGGGCGCGAACCGAGCACAATCGGGCAGGCAGGCAGGCAGCGGCTCCCGTCGTCGCCGTATCCGTGCCCGATCGGAATCGGAATTTGCACGGCCTGGCCCATGCGGGTAGTACAAAAACGCGCCGCCGGGTGAACCGGATTTGATGGCCAACGAGTGAAGGATCCATCATCAACTAGGCACTGGTCAGGGGAGAAACGCAGGGCTCACTCGACGCAACGCCAGCCAGCGTGTTTGCTTCCGTTCCACAGAAAGGTGCAAGCTAGCTTCCTTCCCTCCCCGACGTGGGCTGGCATCAAGGGAGGAATCTACGTCTCCTCCATCCAAAGGAAGAAAAGAAAGAAAATCCAAGCCAAGAGGAGAGAAGTATTCTTGAGAGCGGTGGATAGTGGATGGCCAAGAACCGGGGAAAGGGTGAAACGACCAATCCATATGCGGTGGGTGACGGCCGGACCCGGACGGTAGATGAAAAATATGAAACGACTATCCAATTCTGGGGTGGCGACGGAAAGATACAAAAGGCGGTGTGCTAGGTTGGCTCCGGTCGGATCACGCTACGTTTCCACAAGAAAAACAAGGCCCATTCACCTCACTCACCTGCCCTCCCAACCTTTTTTTTGCCTACCCAGCCCTCCCACCTCCATCGCTGGGCTGCCACCCCACCAGAAGAGGCAGATAATAACACTCCACTCATTCTCGTATCTTCTCCATCAAAGGGGAAATACCTTCTTTATTAGCCAGCGCAGTGAGCGATGGATTTCATTTGATGCTCCTCTCCTCCTCCTTCATCCCCTTCCTTGCTCTCTACTCACCGAACGAGCGAGCTGGCCATCACACGGCTACGGCTTAGCCTTTCCCTCCGGCTTTACCTAAAGAATTGGAGAGGTTGATGCCATTGTTCGATTCTCTCGCCTTCCTTTCTCCTTCTCCCACAGCCTTTTTCTGCCCGTCTTTTCCTTCCTTGCCCACATTCCTCACCTCGCCTCGTGGCGGCGTGGCCTATCTCCTCTGCTCCGCTTATTACTAGTACTAGCCTGTACCGTCGGCGGCAAAGGATCACTTGGTTAGTTGCTCTTCTTCTCCGTGATCCGTAGCCGCCATCTCTCCTCTCTCTCTCTCTCTCTCTCTCTCTCTCTCTCTCTCCGTCCTCCATTGCTCTTGCCTGCCGGCTGCGTCCTCTTCCTGTCGCCGACATCCAAGAAAGATTCCGCTCTTCTGCGAGTAAGCTTCTGCGGACAAGGCGGCCGCCGCCGGCCGGCCGGAGGAAGCGGGGCCATCATCGCTCCACTCATGGACGGCTGACCCCTGCAACGCCGTAACAGCAGCTCGAGGTGAGGGATCCCCTGCCCTGCTGCTGCTGCTAGATTCCTCCCTCCGCCTGGAGCGATTGCATTGAGAAATGGGAATAATCACGTGGGGGTGACGCGGGGCATGTGCTTGGCAGGTTTCTCGCCGACGCGCGCGGCCGGCCATGGAGAGAGCCTGGAGATCAGGGGCGCTGTCGGAGACGGCGTCTTGCGCCGACACGCCAAGGTCAGGCTCCGGCCACTCCTCCTGCAATCTCCAGCATCGACACTCACAGAGGTCAGTACCTCCTTGTCAATTACAGACAGAGTTTCCTCCAATACTTCAATTGCTATTTTCATCATTCAGTAAAGGAACAAAATGAATATGGTTTGGTCATTTCCAGTAAGAATTATATACATGGACCCATATGGGAGCAGAGAAATTCTCCTGATTATCTGTGGAGAAAAAACATAATAAAATTGTGAAGAAACACTGCAAACTGGCACCCAACTTAAAATTCTAGGCTCCAATCCGTAACCAAGTACGGCGTCCAGTTCAGTTCATCATCCATATTTGCACACAGAACACTTAACAATTTTGCACTGTTTAGTTGAGCAACTTATTATTCTGTGTACTGTGTACTGTACGCGCCAACCATCCTCGTCACATCTCATTCATCTCCTTTACGCCGCCCGTACGGCGCCCCTGTGCAAGGATGCTCAGCCTTCATTTTCTGCACAAAGCGGTTGACTCACACACTGTGCAACCAAATTAATGGGCAGACCCACCTTCACCTACACTAACAAATACTCCTACAGAGTTAATTTATCGTGCAATGTTTTTTAATTATTAGTGGATTTTGGCGTGGAATCTGATCAGATGGTAATCATTCCTCGTGTGCCGTTTTAGTATGCTGAGGACACGTGAGGCTGCAGTGGACATGTCGCCGCGGTTCTCCTACTGCAAGCCTGTGAGTAAACTGGATTTATCTTGCAAACTTTTTGACATTTTTACAATATGTTTCTTCCACCATTTGGCACAAAGGCCTAAGTTACTCTTCGGCGATTATACGCACAATTTAACCGGTGGGCTGTGGTTCTATCACCTATTGCAGACCATCAATCGGGACAGCAAAATGCTCCACAGAAGGCACTCGCTGAACTTGCCAGAGCAGTCGTTGCCTGGCCGTCACTCCAGGAAAACAACGGAAAGGACTCAGAAGGCAACTTCAAAGGTTTGGTTTCCTGCAAATCCTGGCAAATTGTTTCAAATACACCGAATCGCAAGTTTTTTGTATTTTGTTGAAGCTGAAAAAAATATGCAGACATGTGTGTCTTATATCTATGCTATGTTATTAGTATTTTTCTCGAGTAGTTTCTTTTCCATGAGTAGTCTAACTAAGGTAACACACGCGAGTTTAAAAAAGACGGTGGCACACCACTAATCCATGAAATGTAATAGTACAAACACAAACAATTTGATTGCACGCGCAACTGAAAAGTGAGGAACATATGCATGTTCATCCGTACCTTTCGGTTTCTTCTCTTTCTAGAACGCTCATCTGCGCCTTGAATTATGCCTGTGTTCTTAGCCGTGACCTTGCAGTTCTGCAGTCCATCGCAGATTTAGCTGGGGAGATTGCGGCCCTCGAGCAGGAAGTCATCCGCAAGGAGCTGCATCTTCTGACCCTCTACAGAAGGGCATTTGATCAGCATCTACCCGATTCCTGCAGTTTTCTTAGTGAGGTACATAACTCAGGGTGCTAGACAGATGACTAGTACTTTTCAGTCATGACAACAGGATGAAGTCCAATATGCTAAGATTAATGCCATGAAACAGCAGGTGGATCAAGAAGCAATTAAAAGTATTGATGAGGGTGCGCTCCGTCTAAGAGATATCAAGCAATCTGCAGCCTTCAACTTGCCAACTGTCTCAGATTCTATGAGTGTATGAACTAGAGATCTCCCTTGATTGATTATTTTCAGCATTAATTACCCACCCAAGCAACATAATGTTCCTAACTGGAAATATGCCTGACTCAACTTTGGCATCTCACAGGAGGTATCGTCAAGACCGGCTTCGAAGCATTCCAGCCTAGTGAACTTCTTGAATGCTTCTATCTCAGACTACGTACCTAAGATCTCTTGCAAACTATCGGAGGACATCCTCGGCTGCATTGCTTCGGTCTACTGCAAACTTGCAAGCACGCCATCTCAAGATGCTGAGTCCGTGACTTCACCAAGTCATTCTGTTTCATCTTCAAGTACCTTCTCTCCGAGGCGTCGTAATGATAGCTGGAGCCCTCGGTGTACCTTCGATGCCACCACGAGCCCTCGCCAATATCCATCCGGAAAAGAGAATAGTGAGCAAAACGTAGGCATGATCATTGTTCCAAGGATACATATAGATGCTGGCAAGTTTGAATATGCGTCAAAAATGCTGGAGACTATCAGGTAAGCAACAGAAAAAACAAGAGGAACATTGATTTTTCTGTACTGGAATTGAAGTTAAGAAAGATGCAAGGCTTCACCAAAGAGCTAGCTATGGACAGGGGTGCGTGGAAGCTTGCTATCCATGTGCCAGAGCCATGAGTTGGTTGCGAGATCTTATGGGTTTCACCTCTAGCCTACCCCAACTTGTTTGGGACTAAAGGCTTTGTTGTTGTTGTAAAGATGCAAGGCTTCAGCCACTAACCTATAAAATATTTCTACTGCATCCAGGTCCCTGATACAGCGGCTCGAAAAAGTTGATCCAACAAAGATGACACATGAGGAGCAGCTCTGCTTTTGGATCAACATCCACAATGCTTTAGTCATGCATGTATTGCTCTACACTCAAAGGACATATTAGTTACCTTTTGTTGTGTGGCTGGTTAACCTCAGAAATCAGATCTCATTTCTAACCTATATACTGCCTTGTGATATACAGGCTTTTCTGGCCTATGGGATACATGATAAACGCCTGAAGAGCACTGACATGATTCTGAAGGTACATTTTTATAGCCTAGTCTTATCTCTACTCATAATCTGAAAGTGCCTGAGCATCTGAACCAAATGAAATATCAGGCTGCATACAATGTGGGTGGTGAATCAGTAAATGCGCAAACTATTCAGAACTCGATCCTCGGATGCCAATCCCATCGTCCATCATTGGTATGACCTGCTTCTACAATACGCAAAACATGAAATTCATATTAAAAAGAACAAACACACTAAAATCCTTACCTTCACAGTGGGTTCGCACGCTGTTCACGCCAGCAAAAAGATCCCTGGCAGGGTCGACGGCGAGGCACCCCTACGCCCTTCACCATTCCGAGCCGGTCGCGCATTTCGCGCTCTCCACAGGAACATTTTCAGACCCGCCCGTAAGCTCCTCAGCATCTTAAACCCTTCCTGCCATTGTCAACCTTGCCCTGTGTAAAATCTCACCATGAAATTCACCGTGTGGCAGGTGCGGCTGTACACGGCCAAGAAGATCCACCACCAGCTGGAGCGAGCCCGGACCGAGTTCATCCAGGCCAACGTCGCCGTGAAGAAGCAGGCCCTCCTGCTGCCCAAGGTGCTCCACTACTATGCCAAGGACGCTGCGCTCGAGCTGCGCCACCTCGTGGAGCTGGTGTGCGAGAGCACGTCGGAGACCCAGCGGAAGGAGATGGCACAGCTCCAGCACCGACTCAGGAAACGGATCGACAAGTGTGTGGAGTGGCTGCCTTACAAGTCCAACTTCAGATACGTTGTACATAGGGATCTGGCCGAGTAGGCAGGGCAGGCACCGGTTTTCGGTTTTGGTTTTGGGTTTTGTTCTTATGGTGTAAGTAGTTACCGGGTTTTAGATGAACCTAACCCATGGTGTGGTGTGTAAGTGTGTAAATACAGCTGAAGTGTGAATTGTGTTGGTTTTGGTTATAGGGGCTGGGTGTACTGGTGATCTGAATTGTGAAAGCTTCTCATTTTGCCACTGTGGTGTATACTGCTCAACAGTCAACTGTGCATCCAGAATTGACATGATGACATTAGAGACAATTGTCGGCCTTATCTTATCTGCACATCGATATTCAGGTGAAAATTCATATTCAGCCCTGGATTTGTCTAGTAATTTAGCTTTCCATTGTGGCGGCGATCTCACGACGGTGAAGCAAGTGGCACAAATGCAGAGTCGATAAAATAAACAACAACATAAATGCTCAACCCAGGGAGGAAACTGGTAAAACACTAGGCAGTGAGGCGCCAGCAGAATGCATGATAAAAGTAACTGAATTCTCTATTCAATGTGTCAAATGTTTCATTGCTGACTGAATCAATTGGAAAGCATTTGGAAACATTTCGTGTAGTCGCATAATCTGCGAGTGACAGTTGATGTTTGGTAATAGTAACGAGACGACATAGGAATTATTTGAAGAGAAAAAAAAAAGACTCGAGAACTGACATGATCTAGACATAGTTGCGACGCGTTTGGCTATGGCTTGTTTGTGTTGTCTCTATTTTCACAACGGGCACTCCAGCAAATGGCCCTGGGCTTTCAGCGACTCGACGCAGTCGTTGAACATCTCTTGCACTCCTTTGAACTTGAGACCCAGCCCCTGGAGCTTGGATGTGTTGAGCTGATACGCCTGCTTTCCATAGGGGTTACTGAGCCTGCAGAGCGATTTCAAGGTACACATTTCAGTCAAAATTCGGCAAAGAGATGAACCGAAGAAAAATATGTATATTTGCAGCAAGAGCAGATATTAAGACTGCTCGTGAGAATGAGTTGTATGCATTGCATCGACTTACCTCCTTGGAATTGGGAATACCGGAAACTGCTTCGTGAGTAAGCCAACCAATTCATTGTTATCCAGAACCACTGAACTGCACAGATATCTGCCACTTGCCTCGGGTGTTTCGTACACTAGAATGTGGCTCCATGCAACGTCGTCGATGTGAACATATCCCATCCTCCCATACGAAGTGAACCTGTCTGTGTCACCTGCAAGAGCATATATGAACAGCAGTTAGCGACTAACTACAAAGGGTACATCATTTGAAAAACAGAACAAGCAACGATCCAAATGCTGCCAAAAATGCTTTTAGATCTGAAGCCAGGGACTTGCATTCAGGAGAAAACTTGGAAAAGGTTGAGTTAAATTACTGAAGCCGACGATCCAACAACTAAAAATGCTTTTAGCACCCTATTGGAGATAAATGACTAGAAAAATCTCACATACCTTGAAGTAAGCCAAGGATATCAGAAGCAGTTGTACACAGTTCATGGGACAAACTGGGCCCAATCACGAATGACGGAAGAACGGTGACAAGGTCAATGTTATTCTCCTTGGCAAAGTCCAATGCTGCTTTCTCTGCAAATACCTTTGCCAGGGCATACCATAGCTTTTTGGGCGCATGGAAGAGGAACAATTTCAGATCAAAGTGTTATGCAGAAATGTAATCTGGAGTACAGTTCTGTATTACCTGTAGCTTTTCGCAGAGTGGCACAGAGCTCCACGTTGTTTCATCCCACAACAGTTCTGGCTGCTGGGTTTCGTCCCTAATCCTCACCGCGGACGATGAAGATGTGAGAACAACCCGTTTTAGAAACGGACTCTTCTTGCATGACCTTAGCACATTTAGGGTACCATTAATTGCAGGACCAAGTGTTGCTTCCTGTAACATAAATAGCATATTCAAGTACATGGCATGGTAATAATAATAGAATTGAGGGTTTGAAGCAAATGCAGCATGCCTTGCAATTGGAATCAGATTTTCCAAGGACAGGTGATGCAATGTGGAAGACACCCTCACAAGCCATCACAGCATCATCAAAGCTCCCTTCCTCCAATAAATCAGCTCTCACAAGTTGGAGCCTCTCATTTGCACCAGGTAATTTCCAAAGGTGTCCAACTTTTTTCCGATTCCCTGCCAAATTCCAAATACACAGTTCAAACCATAGTTCATTTGTTTGCAGGTATGTACGATAAATAATGTCATCAAGAGGGATGCTAGAAAGGAATACCTGGATCTCTGACTGTCCCTATCACATGATATCCACACTCAAGAAGTCTCTTGATGAGCCAAGAGGCGAGAAAGCCTGAGGCCCCAGTTACACACACTTTGCCCTTGGCTGAGCTCACCATTGTCTCGAACTGGAAGTGGTGAAGCTGAGATTTGTTGCAAATCCAGCTTCTCATATAAGCACGTCAAGGAACGTTCTAGAGGAGGAAGATCAAGAATGGTTCACCACCCCATTTCTGTGATCGCAGTTATTAACAGGTACAAAGCTTGGTTGGTAGAATGCAGATTTACAGTACATTCTGAAGATATCTAGGTGACAGGTTGGTGTGGAATAGCAATGAGTTTGCTGACTGAATATTTTTGTTCATTCCATCAGGCTGACAATTTGTGACTCGAAGAAAGAAAGTTTACATCAAAAAATTCGCCTATCATATCAATGTGAACCAGCACTAAACCTGGAGCTAATTTTAAATTGTTGAGAGCAAAATGTTGCAGCGAGAGCATCAAGAACCCCATGGAAGCTGCTAAACCTCGAGCTCACGACGTCGACCTCAATGCCGAGCCTCCTGACGCCCTCGGCGGTGACCGGCCCATGCGCGGCCACGACCATGTCCGGCCAGCGCGCCCTGAGCCGCGGCCAGCTCCACCCGGCGGCGTCCAACCCCTTGAGCAGCCCCTCCACCTCGGCCGAGCTGGTGAACACGATGGCGTCGGGCGCGGCGGCGTCCGGGGCCACCAGCCGCTCGGCGCAGCCCGGGCCGGCCCAGCACGTGGTGTACGCCGGCGCGCGCACGGCCGTCCACCCGGCCGCGTCGAGCCGGGCGAGGAAGTCGGGCACGACGGGCGGCTCGCGGAGCCCGTCGACGTCGGGGACAGGGCAGAGCACGCGGCGGCCGGACCCGCGCCCCAGCGCCTCCACGAGGCCGGCGGGGGTGGGGACGTCCGGGACGAGGACGGCCACCCTCCCGGCGTCGCGGCAGAGCCTGGCAAGGAAGGCGCCGTCCAGGAGGTCGGCGTCGCTGCCGAGTGCCGCCACGGTGAAGGGGAGCGCGGAGGCGGCGTCGGAGAGGGGAAGCTGGGCGGAGGAGGAGGAGGAGGGGAGGGCGCGGGAGAAGGCGGCGATGCCGGAGCGGGATGTGAAGGCGAGCGCCGTGAAGGGGTCGAGAGCGCCGGGCAGGAGGTAGGGGCGGAGGCGGTCGGGCTCGTGGGCGCGGATGGCAATGGTAGGCACGGGGAGCGGGTGCGCGCCGCGCTGCCGCAGCAGCGCGCCAAGCCGGCCGCCGTATCCTTCCCCGCCGCCCCCGCCGGTGGTCTGAGGCGTCGTGAACGCCACCCGCCGGCCCGCGAGCGAGAGGGCCTCCGGCTGCGCCATCACCGCTCCTCCGGCGACGCCAATCTATCTGAATCTGAAGGATATCTCTCCGGTGACTCTTCTTACGTGCACTTCGAACTGTCTTTTGCTAGTAGTACAGTTCAGAGTTCAGAATTGCAGTGAACACTGCTGACCGTCAGAATAATTCAGGCAACGTCGAAGAAAATACAGTAGGCTGGTAAGTGGATGTCAGCAGACAAGATCAAAACTGGAAATTTTCCAGCACTGTGAATTCAACAATCTACCGCCAATCTTTCTGAACTCTATTCCTCTTGCTGTTAAACATTGTTCAATAGTGCGTACTGCGTAGTTGCTACAATGATACACATGGTATAACAACAGATTACAAGAATGTTCGGATGATGGCGCCAATTTCACATACTTCAGGAGAGTAATCACTCGGCATCACTGTCCAGCTGTGCGACCAAGCTATCTATCTATCTGCAGGTCTTTGAGTGAACGTCCTCGTTTGGCTCCAATGCCAAGATTCGAGCGGCAATTACTGCAGCTGGGTCTCGAAAGGGAGTTCGATGGGGGTGGCGTTGCCGTAGAACTCCTCCAGGTTGTAGAATTCCCGCTGCGGGGGAAGGAATATATGCACGACGACATCGCCTGCAATAAGAGTGCAGAGGACGGTCAAGTAGGTCTATGCCAAATTTGTGCATCACCATCAGCTCATCACAGTATTCGACACTGAGACATTGATCGACATGCGAGTTTCCTTTTGCAACAAAACCTCGTCGACCCGGTAGTGTTTAAAAGTCCATGAGCAGTTTCGAAGGATGTTTACATGGAACAAGGAAGGTGGCGACAACAGTGGCTGCCAGTTTTCAGCATATCCAAAAGGCTGAAAGTTCTTATTCAATTTTATTATTTAACTCCTGTAAGCTACTAGAAAAGAGAAACGGAACAAAACCAATTCTGCCTGGCTACTTGCATTGCTAACATGCTGTATTAAACTGAGAGCAGGCAGAAATATGCACAATACAATCGTAACAAAAATTGAGTCTTAAAATTTCAGGCTAAGTTCACAACTGGACAAGGACACGGTTGTTATCCAACGGTTCAAGTTTACTTACACAATTCAAAATCATGAGTTTTGGACGAAAAGCTTTACATGTTCTCGTAGATTGAATTTGTGTCCAGATGCTAAGAAAATCTGTGTCTTCAATTTATAAGGAAAAAAATAGCACCTGGTTGTTTCACCATTCCATCAAGTCAGAAAGCTAATTTGTGCTTTAAGTCAAAGATCAGCTCATAAGCAAAGAAATAGCACTAGTTGTTTTACTTTCCATCAAGTCAGAAACCTAATTTGTGCTTGAAGTCAAAGATCAACTCATAAGCCAAAAAAATAGTGCTGGTTGTTTTACTTTCCATCAAGTCAGAAACCTAATTTGTGCATGAAGTCAAAGATCAACTCATAAGCCAAAAAAATAGTACTGGTTGTTTTACTTTCCATCAAGTCAGAAAGCTAATTTGTGCTTGAAGTCAAAGATCAACTCATAAGCCAAAAAAATAGTACTGGTTGCTTTACTTTCCATCAAGTCAGAAAGCTAATTTGTGCTTGAAGCCAAAGATCAACCCACAAGCCAAAAAAATAGTACTGGTTGTTTTACTTTCCATCAAGTCAGAGAGCTAATTTGTGCTTGAAGTCAAAGCTCAGCTCATAAGCAAGAAATAGCACTAGTAGTTTTACTTTCCATCAAGTCAGAAAACTATTTGTGCTTGAAGTCAAAGCTCAGCTCAAAACCCAAAAATAATAGTACTGGTTGCTTTACTTTCATCAAGTCAGAAAGTTAATTTGTGCTTGAAGTCAAAGATCAACTCATAAGCCAAAATAGTACTGGTTGTTTTACTTTCCAACAAGTCAGAGATCAAGACCTTTCTCTACCTCTATACATAACAATCAAGATGCTTCAGTAGAAGCTGTCCAAATGAAACTGTTATAAATTTGTGTCTGGAAACTACGTGTCTTCTACTTATAAGAGAAAAAAAAACACTAGTTGTTTTACTATTCCATAAAGTCAGAAAGCTAATTTGTGCTTGACTTCAAAAGATAAATGCTGCAGAAGAAGTTGTCCATATGAAACTGAAGTATTAGAACCAATTATAATGAACGCGTGACAGAAAAGTACAGAACACTGACCAAAGTCCAGCAAGGTCCATGAATTGGGTTTTGTATCACCAGACGCAACTCTGCTGAACTGCTGCTCACCTATGTCTCTCATTTTGGAACTGCAAGGCAAGAATACAGTCACACATATCCTAAGTCAAGCAAGAAGAATAATTAAACTCATCTGAAAAACCGAATGGTAGCAGGTGCATATTACTGTTTCACTTCGGTTGAAATCATGTGGGCAAGAAACTGAATGTGAAGTGTGGAGCACCTGATGGCCTCAATCTGCGCATTCGAGAAGGCGGTGAGGATGATGAAGAACTCGGTCCAGTAGACAATCGGCTTCACGAACAGCACACGGATGTCGGCGGCCTTGACCTCGCTTGCAACTTTAGCCAGAGAAACGGCCACTGAATTTACAAGGCAAAACAAGGATCAGACTTAGCAAGCATGCAGAATTGCGCTTCTGGTTCTGCTTGGCCTGTATATGGTTAGTATTTTCTGAACATTTCTCGACTGGAGAGGCGTATGCAACATACGTGACAGGCACTCGGCGTCCTCGTCGGCCTCGCTGGCCAGGGCCGCGCTGCTGGCCCCGCCGGAGCTGTACACGACCTCGCCGTGCTTCTGGAGCAATTCCTCGAGCAGCTCGTCCGCGCCCTCCCCTGTCCCGGGGTTCTACGTACGCACGCGAGCAAGAAATGAAAACCGGAGTCAGAACAACTGTACCAGAGCAACTTCACACGAATGTGAAAATGGCGCGAGGGCCGGAGCTCTGCCGGAACTATGTACCCACCACATTAGAGGAAGAAGAAGAGGGCGGGGAGCGAGCCCGGAAGGGCGCGGCGGTGGGCAGCAGCAGCGGCAGGAAGTCGCTCCTCAGGCGGTGGCGGGGGACCGCTCCGACGGCGCGCCGCGGCCGCGGGTGCAGCAGCGGGACGGCGGCCGGCGGCGCGCGGGCGAGGCCGTGGCCCTGGCCCTGGATCGCGGCGCCTCTCATGGTAAGCCCGAGAATTTTCCACGGGAGGGGGGAGGGAGGTTGCAGTGGGCGAAACGGCAAGCAACGAGGAGCGAAGCGTGGAGGAGATAAGCGGGACGAACACTGACTGACTGAGTGAAAGGGGATAGGCCAGCAGATTTATTTTTTCTTCAGAGATTTTTCCTCAGCTCGCCATTTTGTTTCTTCCTTTCAGCGGTCCAAACCCCGCCTGGAGATGCGTGCAGGGAACATACTCTGTGGAGTGCGCCTTCTCTCTGTAGAATGTGCCTTCTTGACCAGCCGAGCGCTCTCTCTCTCTCTCTCTTCGCAATTCTGTATCCATAATCCAACATTTGGGTGCAATTCCAATGGGTAACGTAGGAGACATCCTTATTTTCCCGCGGGGATCTTAATTACCACTGCTTAGCTTAAATTTCTCTATGTAACTCTACATTTTGTGGCTGCTAATCTGTTTATCTGTTCAGTTTTCGGTGTCATCCTTCATCCTTCAGGCTTCAGCTACATTTTCATAGCACAAGTTGCAGTCTTTGATTTTCACAATAATGGTACGTGTAGAAGAATGGGTATGGGTCCTCATAATCAAGCATCGTGGTTGCATGTCTAATTTCAATGAAATATGGCTCAACAATGAATTTCAGGTCTAACTATAAAAATTTACGGTGGCAAAATGAGATATATGCATCGAGGGCACATCCTTCTCATCAAACAAGGGGGCAAAAGAGAGGCAAGCACTAACCAGGCACACATTATCATGAATTTTGAGCAAAATCATAATAATTCTATAATATTAATACTATGCACATAAGTCGCATCCCTCTTCGTGGTTTAATTACATCCGGCATACGATGTCTCACACCCACACGAGGGCAATATCTAAGTGGTAGTAGTTATATATATTACCATCAGTTATTTTTTTTCTTTTTTTTCGGTTTTCCGAGTCTCCTGCATGACCTGATAACTAACACCTCAAAGCACACTTCTTTGGAAATGTTTCTACCTCTTCGCCTTTTTCCAATGGGAATGATAGCAAAACAATGACTAACAGCTGAGGGGTAATGATGAGGATCAGCCGCTAGGGTAAGTCGAGCAAACTTTGTGCATCATCTTGTCATGTAGAGGACTTCCATAACCCCTTGCAGAACTTGATTGCGTACCCAGTGCCAGCAGCAAAGGTCCACAGGATGGCAGCAAGCAAAACCAGTAGCGAGACCGAGATCAGCCCTGCGCGCCTTCTTCTAACCTGGATAACTGGGGCGCTTGCTTCTTCCTTCGGAGCTTGTTCTGACCTAAAGCTAGAAATGCGTTGGAGTGTTCTGTTGAGAACATTGTTTTCAGCCGCCAGAGCTGGATTGGCAGGTACCGCGTCCAGCAGGGCTGATACAGCTGAATTGAACCATGACTGTGAATCCGCTGGACTCAGGTTATGTGGTTGCTCATTCACTGTGTGGAAATTCGCAGTGCCTGAAATGTTCAGAAGCAGCAACTTCAGACATTTGACTTAAGCTATAATATCTGAGGGAATTTATAGGTGATCATTCAATAAAAAGCTTGCAAAACAAAATGAAGTCATTAATCACCTGATGCATGTGAGAAGACAACATGATTATGATTCATGTGGTTCCGCACATTCAGAGCAACCTGGTTGTGCGTCCACGATTCAGATGTATACTGCAATCCCTGGTTCTGGGATCCACTATCACCAAGATAACCAAACTGATTTTCAGTCGCCACTCCAGCTGTATCAAATGAGCCAGGTAGAAACATGGAAGCGTCGGCAAACTCCAAACTGTCAAACATCCCATTGGATGAAGAAATCAAGTGCTCGGTTGCAGTACAATTCATACTCTGTTGTCCTACATCTTCTGGATCCAAGAAATCGTTGATTTCAAGGAACTCCTCATCAGCATCCTGGCCGTCATAACTGGCCAACCCAGACACAGATCGCATCGCACTTGTTTCTTCAGTGCAATCTGTTTCCCAATTCAATGGCATGTTGGTGAGAGCAGACTGTGTAATTTGATTACTGGGATCTGATCGTGGATCAAGATCTCTGTTTTCTTGCACTGCAGAAGAAGGATCTACAGAGCTGAATGTAGCACCGTGACATCCATGGAAATCTCCAGAGCCAACCTATGTAAGCCAATGTAACTTAAGATTCATAAACTGGACAACAGATATATAATACAATGTTCAAAAAAGCGGAAAGCATAAGCGGAGCGGAAGGCCACAGCTTAGAGCAATGGGCGCGTGGGCGTTTTTTTTAATAGGTAAGAATTTGACTGCTTTTGAATAATATGCAAAGGAAAATAGGAAACATAGCACATAGCTAATTGAATTAGCATAAAAAATGCAGTTCACACCATAGCAAACACATATCAGGTTCACACAGCAAGCAAAATAATAACTAAAATGCAGTTCAGTTCAAATAGACATAGCCTAATAGAGATCATGTGGCCAGAATCTGTAGTTCCCGAACAGATCCCAATAATAAGATAAATGGCATATTGCCATTATTGCGGAAGCAGAAGTAGTTCAAAAACAGCCAAATATTAAAAAAAACACTTAATCTACAGCTTAGGGCCAAAGTGAATTGTTTTGCTCAGTGCTTAAGCGTCCCTTAAAAACGCTTTCTTGAACACTGATATAACAGTTTATGCATGTTACTAGAAATTTAATAGTGTTATATGATCATTCAAATTCTGCCTCTGGTGTCTTCTAGGGATATAGCATATTCTCAAATACTAATCAGACCCAAAAAAATCATTTTTTGTGTCTTCCAAGTTTTGTAAATGTGTGAGGATGAAGGCAGAAGTAATTAGCAATTATGGCAAACGCAGAAGAATTACTAGCAGTTACACAAGTACACAAGATGCCGAGCATTCCAGATTTTCCAATCATTTAAAGGATGAGTAGTATAGAATATAGACTATAGAGAACAAAACACACCTGATGGAACTCATGACGAGGAACTGGTGTGGAGAAATCTGCCAGCGGTTGGACATTTCCCTGGTCATTCTCTAATTGCAACAGAAGCCCTTCAATATCCTCATAGGGAAGCTCGGTGACAGTACATCCTGAAGCGTCCACAACGCCATTACTAGTGGTATAATCTGCAACACTAATCTCCTCCATGTTGGCATTGGGCCAAGCCTCATGCTCATGATCATCATGCTGAAGCTGCAGTTGGGGAACGAATTCTGAGAATTCTTGGAACGATTCAGTGGCCCGTTGATCATCCGATATTTCCATCAGTAGCCCCTCAAGATCCCCAAAAGGGAGTTCAGTGCACGTATTCTCTACCATTACCATACCACGGCTGCTGGTTGTAGCATCTGCAACCTCAGATGTGTTACCGTCATCACTGGGCCGACCTTGAGGGTGGCCATGCTGAAGCGGAGGCTGTGAAGAAACCGGTGTCGAGAAATCCGACTGTGGTTCACTGTTTCCCTGATCATCTCCATTTTGCAACAGGAACACCTCAAGATCCCCAATCTGATCGTCCACTGTCATAACCCCAATCTGCTTGTCCACTGCCACACCCCCAATCTGGTCGACAACTGTCAAAACATCCCCAATCTGGTCGTCCACTGTCAAGACATCCCCAATCTGCTCGACCACTGTCACAGTTCTAGTAGGTAGACTGACGGCGATAGGGATGGGATCAGCGGGGAGCTCACAGTCGTCGTCGTCGTCCAGCCAGTCCTCCTCCCGGAAGGGCGCGCCGTACTGCTCGCCGTTCTTGGGGCCGACCCCGCTCTTCTCGAAGAGCTTGTAGAGGGCGTAGGACTCGCGGCCCCGCGCGGGCGGCGGGAGCGCGTCGGCGAGGATGGTGTACTCGTGCATGACTCAGTCGGTGCGCTCCCCGCGGGGGGCGCGGCCGTGGTGGTAGACGAGGGTCTTCTTGTTCCCGACGGCGCGGCCGGCGTTGCAGATGGAGCGGTCCTTGCCCGTGGCCTTCCAGTAGCCGTCGGCGGTGGTGCGGCTGGCGCGCGAGCCGTTGGGGTACTTGCGGTCCAGCCGGCTGCAGAAGAACCACTGCTTGTCCCCCGTCCGCAGCGCCGACCGCTCTGCTCCACCATCAGCGAATCGAGGTCAGGAGGGGCGGGTGGAGGGAGATGGATCGGCGGGAGGGGAGTGGCGAAGGGGCGGGG